TGTTGCAAAACGAAACAATGCGCACGATTTGATTGAAGGCTTCAGAGCAGCCCACAACGACTTTCTTTTCTTGTTTCTCACTGAACAATAGCCCAGTTCAGATTCTCTCCCCAAACATTTCGAGGAGCCTGCTTTTCAACAAGCCCATCCTCTCAAGTTCTCGTCCAACGGAGGCCTCCGACTCTCTGGGGAAAACCAAACAAAGACAGGAATGTTGACGAGGCCTCCATCTTTACCCATGGTCCTCCTTTATTAGATATATATTTATTTGCTTTTATTGTAGCTCGGGAATCTTCCAGAAGGCCCTGGTGTGGTGGAAGCTTTTACAGCTCTTCAGCTGCGTGTGGAACAAACCTGCTGTTTCCAGAGCTTTCAAGCATCTCCTTTTTACACCAAGTGTTGCTGTTCACACTTGCTCGCATCTCTACCTCGTGTGTGTGCGCGCGTGTGTGTGTGCGCTTTTTCTTTATCACCTACCAGCTCTCTGAGAGCTGAGCCCTGCTCGCACTCTCGTGGGCCAAACCGAGCGAAGACGAGCCCGTTTTTTGTACGTGCCTTCACCCACGTGGCGATGGTAATACATGCACTTTGCTCTGAAATTGAAACTGGCATTTAGCATCACATTGCTTTTACCCAGCAGCTTTGATGTGTTTTCAAAAGGGCAGGTGTGTGTGTGCGTATGTGTGTGTGTGTGCGTGCGTGCCTGCGTGTGTGTGTGTATGCTCTACCCTTATTGATGTGTGTTGGTATTTGTTTGATGTGTGTCCAGCCTTACAGGGCTGGAAGGTGAATTTCTTAATTTCCCCGTGGACTCAATTAGCTTTGTGATTGGCTGAGAGAAGGCCAGGTTGTGCTGTCTTCTGAAGGAGAGGAGACCTTTGAAACTGGGGTTTTGGGGGGGGGGGGGGGGGGGGTGAAGCAGAAGAGGAGATGAGCCGGCCACAGTGTGTAATGACGCTGTGCTCCTGACGCTCGTGAAGACTCGGCCCTGTCTGGATGATTATAATGAGAGGCAGAAACTTGTGAGGCTCCTTCATCCTCCAGCAGGTGTTGCACAGCTCTGACTTCATTACGACCAATTAAAGTGAAGAAAATACTAATTATACCTTAGTTTCTCGGTGATTAAACACTAGGTTGAAAGTAAATTGCAGGGATAGGTTTGCAAAAATCCCCCGGTGATGACTGAAGTCATTTTCATTTTGAAGTCACTTTCAAACCTCCGTAATGAAGACGTTTTCTGTCGATATGCTGTTTCTGTCTGAGAGCTTGTTACTCTAAGAAGAAAGAGGCGATTTCACTTTGGTGATGATGATTTGGGGAGCTTTCTGTTTTCTGATATCATCCTGCGTAGATTACTGACTTATATCGGCTTATATTTCCAATTTTAGACTACACAGATACCAACACACTTCTCCCTGTCTACACACTCGTGATGTTTTATTTCACGTTTTCTTTTCAGAACCCATCACGGTAGCATGTGTGAACGCTTGTCCCGGCTTTCGTTAAAAGACAGACGTGAATTTCATTGGTTAGTGTTTAGCTTCAAATGTATTTACTTTGACTTTCCAGCTTACTTAGAGGGACTTTACGGACTTTTGAATTTTTATGCTCGCGATTGCCCCCTCAGGCCAAAAGCATAATAGCAGCTTCAATAGTAGGCTCGTGCACGAGGCGCGCATGCTGTACGTGCACACTCCTTAACGAAAATAACAGCTGAGACAGTCCCGTGTGTGTGTGTGTGTGGGGGGGGGGGGGGGGGGGGGGCAGAGGACAGGAGAACGCGCAGCTTATTAATTCAGTAATTTGGTTCTGTACCTTTCTCTTCAGCACAGCCGACAAAGGTTTATGATGGGTCAGTCCTCCTGCATGCTCAGATCATTCCCTTCCCTTGCTTGAAAAATTGTTCCAAAATGAAAGTTGAACCCACATCTTTTTTATCTGTGAATTCAATGCTGTTCGGCGAGTCTCAAATAAAAATTTGGGCATCTTACTGTAAAAAAATATACCATTAATGTAAAAAATTAACTCTAAATAAACTATGTTGACATCCAGAATCTAACCCACGTCTTCCGCACAGGAGTCCGCTGTCTTACTGGGTGAGCTACAGCGCCAGTGACGTCTTTTGTACCTGTAATATTTATATCATTGATGACAGCTGAAACAACGTTCAAAGAATGGTTCAGAGCGGAAGTGGCTATTTTGTTGCTAATTTGCAGGAAATATCTAGAAGAAAGTAGCTAAGGGTCCTCAGAAATGTAGCTAGCTTTGTCACTAGGCGTTAGGAACAGCGACAAAGTGGCACTGCCTCTCTCTCTGCTGCTAAAGCTACGGATAGCAAATGCTACGGGCTATGCCTGAGCGTGAACGTGCATGAAGCAGCCTGCTCGACCCGAGCATCTCTCTTTTTCTGTGATTTTACAGAAAAACAGGCAATCACAGTAAAAATGCCAGGGCTCATTCTACAGGACCAGGACATTGCAGGATAATGTATGAAGAAGAAACTTATTATTTCAATACACGTTTTGGCTTTCAAACTTCCATAATGCCCCTTTAAAGAGACATTATGCAAATTATTCATTATTTCATAGCATTTTCTTGAGCCAGCATGTGCTAAAATGACCCTTTACAGCAGGGCTATCCAATTCTGAGCCTCGAGGGCCGGTGTCTAGCACGTTTTGGTTTTAACCCTGCTTCAACACACCTGATTTCAATTAGTAGGTGATTAACAGGCTTCTGCAGACCCTGATGAGGTGCTGCACAGGTGATTCAGAGCAGAGAAACCACTAAACATGCTGGATACAGGCACTTGAGGCCCTGAATTGAATAGCTCTGCTTTACAGGTTTAATGAAAGAACACCCAGCCCCTGTCCCCATCTTGGTGGCATGCCTTTTTTCAGGGTGCAACGAGACTGTTTTTCAGCCCTCTTTCTGAGGTGGTCTGCTTCTGGCTGACCAGGGCCAACACACCCACTGCTGACTGATAAGCCGGCTTATCAGTCAGCAAATTCACACCTTCCATTAGAGCAAGCCTCTGATTGGTGGGTAGAATCAGCCCACATGGGCTTAAGGCATGCTCAATTCATCAGCATTCATTATCATGCTGATTACCTAGAAGCTGAAAATGTCTCTGACTGCATTCCTTGCATACCTAAGCAAGGATGTGTGGAGTCAACCGGGCCAGGCTGGGGCCGACTGGAGCTATTCGGGCAGGGCCGACCAGGTACAGATGGGAATGAGGCATTAGCTTCCCTTTATGGAAGCCTGGGGAGACATTTCAGCTTTTAGATTAAAGCCGGGTGTACACTGTGCGACTTTTTCACCTTTTTGAGCCGATTTTCCACTCGTTCGAGAATCCACAAGATCGGGGCGATTTTTGCGCTGAGCGTCGTGTAGTGTACAGGGAGATTGCACGAGAGGCGATTAACACCACGTGACCAGCTACCAATCAGCAATCGTGAGCTCGCACAAACTGCTGGTGTGTTTTGCTCGTTCCTCGTGAGGATATCGCACTGTTGAAGCGGCGCTGCGAGCAGCTGCGACCCAAAAAGTATCAGAACCGCTCACGGCGCATGCGCAATCCTGCCTCAACACCGCTCACCCGCTATTTCCCTAATAACACACGTTATTCGTTTTTATTTCTACACGTTTTTTTTTTTACTCACAAAAATTGTCAAGAAAGCGTGTTTGTCGTGTTCATGTCAAATTAAACTGATCGCAAAACACAGATTTACTTTCTTTATTTTGTTTTCCTCATCCAACCCCCATAAATCCCTGTGTGTCCTCCTGCAGCACTCCCGAAGGACAACAGTGAAAACAAGACAAAAATGTCTGACGTGTTGTGTAAAAACTGCTATTTTTAGCATATTTTTAGGTCCGACGTGTTGCTACCAGACGTACAGTGTGAGCAGTCACGTCACATCCGAGAACTGGGTCGTACAGTGTGAGCACATGACTCGTGAGATCTGCCCTGCGAGGAAGTCGTACAGTTTGAGCTGAAGCTGAGTGCTACGAGTGAAAAAGTCGCACAGTGTCCGTCCAGCTTAAGGCGTTAAAAGACAAACACACATGCATGTGAGGAGATTTTGCTTTTGGTTCTACTAAACGGACACAAGGGGGTGCTAAAAGCAAGCCAAAACTGCCTAGGCTCCCTTTAAAGCCTTTCAGGTCTTATTAGAATCTTTAGTTAAAGGCTGGTGACTTCTTTTTTGTCCCTCGGTTTAAAAAAAGACATTGAAAAATTGACTTTTTGTGTCAATTCAATTTAGCTTATTAATATAGCCCCAAATCACAACTAGAGTCGTCTCAAGCCACTTCACAAAGTAAGCGGTCCGATTGAGTTCAGTTCATTATGCCGATTAGTTAAAAATTTCCTTTTTAAGGAAACCCAGCAGAGTGCATCGAGACACTGACTTGCCCATACTAAGCAAGACTCGCTGGGGGTTTGAGACAAGAACATTCATCAAAGTTCCACTTGATTTAGAATAACGTTCTATCAAATAATCGGTTAAACCCGGAATACCATTTATACTCATCTCTTGCCTATTTCTAATTGTTTCTAAGTTTACTGTTGAAGGCTTTATCAATTTAATAGTTTTGTTGCCAATATTGGAAATGAAATATTTCCTTTGTGCTCGTGTTGAGAGTAATGTATCACAGTTATTTTAGTTTTGATGAAGGAATTACAGAAATTTGTCTTTCAGCAGGGATCAACATCATCATTTCACATTAAATAGCTAAAGACCATAAGACCAACCATAAGACCACATTTACTCAAACTAAAAACACTAATTGATGCTCCTTATTTTCGTTTTGTATTAATTAACTCAGAATTATACCCGGCAGCAGTCTTACAGATCCTCTATTTTTTGCTGTATAGAAAGGGGGAACCCCTCGAAAACTAGATGTTGCACCTCAAGGGTTTTATCCTCTTGAAATATATTTAAATTAATGAATATTTAATCATATTTAAAGGCATATTTTTGTTGTCGTTTCTCCATCAGGTTGCCGGTGTTGGAGTCCACGGCCTCGTCTGGTGATCTCTCACGACCTCACCACATCGTGTCTGTAGTTCCCAACCGCTACCCGCGCTGGTTCACCCTGAGCCATATAGAGTCTCAGCAGTGCGAGCTGGCCTCCACCATGCTCACTGCTGCCAAAGGTGCGCATTCACTTGCAGATACATACGGGTATAGGTGCAACAGCAATCTCTGTCCTGGCCTGACTCGATCCTGCTCTTTTGCTTCCTTTCCAGGTGACAGCCGCAGGCTGGAGACGGTCCTGGAGTCCATCCAGAAAAACATTCACTCCTCATCTCACATCTTCAAACTGGCACAGGACGCGTTCAAAATCGCCACTCTCATGGACAGCCTGCCGGACATCACGCTTCTCAAAGTCTCTCTGGAGCTCGGACTGCAGGTGTGCAAACACATCAGTGCTGTTGGATGAACCAAATCTCTCTTTTTTAATCCAATCCAATACTCCAATGTCATTGTTTAGGTTTTAAGTAAAACTAATAATTATCTAGGGAACCAAGCTGCTGGGGCTACAAAGCGGCATGGTTAGACTGACCTGCAAAGCAAAATCTATTTGCTATTGTTGCAGTTAAAGTTAAAGTCCCATCAGTTGTCTTTGTTCTCCGCATTTGACCCGTCTCCTGGGGGAGCGGTGGGCTGCAGACACGGCCGCGCTCGGGAACCATTTGGTGGTTTAACCCCCCAATCCAACCCCTTAATGCTGAGTGTCAAGCAGGGAGGCATTGGGTCCCACTTTTTCAGAGTCATTGGTATGACCCGACCAGGAATCGAACCCTGATCTCCCAGGCTCAGGGCGGACACTCTACCACTAGGCTACCGAGCTGGTTACTGAGCTATGGTGCAATGGCTCGGTCAAAAACCGGACTTCCTCAAAACCTCAAACCTCACTTTAGTACTTTAACAGGAGCCAACTGAAGCAGTAGTTTCAATTCAATTCAAAAATACTTTATTAATCCCAGAGGGAAATTGATTGCTGTAGTAGCTCAGAATAATAATAATAATAATCAAGTCATCAAAGAGTTGTTGTATATTACAATGGCTGTTGGCAGGAAGGATCTCCAGTAGCGGTCAGTGTTGCAGCCAAACTGAAGAAGCCTCTGACTGAAGACACTCTTCCGTTGTCGGAGAGTCTTGTGAAGAGAATGCTCAGGGTTGTCCATCATTTTCTTGATTCTCTGGAGAATCCTTCTTTGCATTATCTCCTCCAGCGGTTCTGAAACTGCCAAAACTCTGGCTGAGTCCTTGAAAGGGCTTGGAGTTCCTCCATCTTGTTGGCCAGTGATCTCACATTGCCCATTATGATCGATGGAAGAGATGGTTTGAATTTCCTCTTTCCCTGTCTCCGTTTTGCTCCCGCTCTACACCCACGCTTCTTGCGTTTTAGCTCATTTGGGATTTGTGGCTTCAGTTGAGGTATTATTTCAGCCTTTCCAATGTTAATCAGCTGCTCCCGATTGTAAACCAGCTTGTTGCCATGGTTACACATCATAACAAATGCTCAAAAAGTGAAAAAAGCTAAAAAAAAAAAGCTGTAAAAATACTCCAAGCTTTACATCACCAGAAACAGAAAAGTAAAGTGTCCAAAAAAAATACAGTTTTTCTTGAGAAACTAGAAGAAAAAATGCCCAAAAAAAGGCAAAACTTACATATAATCAACAGAGCTACTCCAACATGCAGCCACCCAGAGCAGCGCAGTTCTGGAAAAGTTAATGGCAATTCAGTTGATGTAAGAGGAATAAGGGTATTCTCTTAAAGAAGCACTGTCCCGTAATGTTCTGTCATTCTCAGGTGATGAGAATAACTCTGTCCACCTTAAACTGGAGGAGGAGAGAGATGGTGCGCTGGTTAGTCACATGTGCCACTGAAGTTGGTGAGTCCTCTCCCAGATAAATGTTCTTCACATTTCCCTTCCCGTTTTCTTCATACAGTCTGCTTTGTGTCTCCCAGGTGTTTATGCACTGGACAGCATCATGCAGAGCTGGTTCACCCTCTTCACCCCTACAGAAGCCACCAGTATCGTGGCCACCACCGTCATGTCCAATAGCACTATCGTCCGACTCCACCTGGACTGCCACCAGCAGGAGAAGCTGGCCTCATCTGCCCGAACACTCGCCCTACAGTGTGCCATGAAGGACCCCCAGAACTGCGCCCTCTCTGCTCTTACACTTTGTGAAAAGGACCAAATTGCCTTCGAGACAGCCTACCAGATTGTACTGGACGCTGCAACAACAGGAATGAGCTACACACAGCTGTTTACCATTGCACGCTACATGGAACACCGCGGTTACCCGATGCGAGCGTACAAGCTGGCAACGCTAGCGATGGCTCATCTGAACCTCAGTTACAACCAGGACACGCACCCAGCCATTAATGACGTTCTTTGGGCTTGCGCGCTCAGCCACTCGCTGGGCAAAAACGAGCTAGCTGCAGTTATCCCCCTGGTGGTAAAAAGCGTGAAGTGCGCCACCGTGCTCTCTGACATTTTGCGGCGATGCACGCTGACCACGCCAGGCCTTGTGTCGGTGCTGCACAGCCGCAGGAACTCTGGGAAGCTGATGTCGCTGGACAAGGCGCCGCTCAGGCAGCTGCTGGACGCTACCATCGGGGCCTACATCAACACTACGCACTCGCGCCTCACGCACATTAGCCCCCGCCACTACAGCGAGTTCATCGAGTTCCTGGGTAAGGCCCGGGAGACTTTTATGATGGCTCACGACGGACACATTCAGTTCACCCAGTTCATAGACAACCTGAAACAGATCTACAAGGGCAAAAAGAAACTGATGATGCTGGTGAGGGAGCGGTTTGGCTGAGGGTGAGGCTCGGGGGCGACCGAACCCTCCGCTTCCACTCTAGTACTTTTCTATTAACTTGCCTTTTGAACATCTTTCAAACTAATAAAGTGAGAAGGACGTGACTTGGAACATGAAGCAAAAAGAGAAAGGAAAAGATGACAAAAAAATTCAACAGAGCCACATGCGGTATTATTGTTCTTGCTGTTGTTATTGTTATAAACATTATTATTATTATTATTATTAATATTATTACTACTACGTGTACAGAAGTGTTTTTATTTTTCAGAAGAGAGGAAATTTGTCATGTTGTGAATGTCGTGTGTATTTCTCTACATGTGTGCGAGATGAAAATGAGAAGTGAAATGGCTTTTAAAGTTTTTTTTGTTTCTTTATCTCTATGATTTGAAACATTATTTTTTCCCATTTTCAATGTTTAAATGAGTGACTTGTTGAGTGGCTGAAGCCTTTGTACAATAGTGCTCATGTTTAAAAAAACAAAACAAAAAAAAACAATAAGACAAACAAAAAACAAATGTCTCGGTATCCTCAAAGAGAAACTACGGCTTTAAACCACACGGCGCACCTCTCTTTCGTATAAGGCCCTCGCTGGCTCGGCTCAGTTTGGGTTAGCACTGACAGAAAGCCGCTTTTAGCATCCATTTCATTGCTTGCTTTCATTGCACTTGAGCAGCCATTAGCTTTCTCTGGGTTCCAGGCGTTAGGTCCGACCCAACTTTTTGCTCAAAAGAACCAGTTCTGGAAAGTAAACAGACAAAAATGGCAAGTATTAACTTTTGAATTGAGAGATTTGACTGATAAAGCTCCATTTTTTTAATTTTTTTAAAAAAAGAAAATCCAGATGGGAGACGACTACCTCATGATACGGTATTGACCCTGATCCCATTTATGCTATCTTAAATTTAGCCCATGATAGCCGACAGTGTTAATTAAAACCCGATGTTGAGTGGAAACCATGACTAAGAATCCACTCGTGAGTCTTTCTGTGCTCTGCTCTGCTGTACATCACTGCCTTCAGTACTCCCAACAACCCCCCCACCCACAAAAAGGAAAGTAAAACTCATCCCTCGCTCATCCTCACGACCGTCGCTGTATGGTTCGCTTCAGACTCGGCCAGTAACACTACCCTCTGTGCATGTGAATCATTGAAATTAGACTTGCTACTGTGCTAGTTCATTGTGTGGAACATTCAGAAACCAGAACGTTCTCAGGGATTTCTCTACGCAGGAAAAACAAAACAAAACAAGTGGAACAAACAAACGTCTCACTACCAGGAAAACGATAAAAACACAACATGAGCAAGCATTTATTGTACTCTGTATATATGCCATAGTATATGTCTGAATATGGAGGATCTGAAAGTATATCTTAACTAATTTATACAGAGTATTCTATGTAATGTGAAATACTTGAAGCCGCTGTAGTTTGCTCTCTTTGGCTCTCCATCTTTTCTCTTTTTTATCTTCTCATTTGTTTCAATTCTACTTTGTTAAAAATGACCTTGTTGATGCTTTTTTAAATTTCTTTTTGGACTCACAAGGCCACGCGTATTCCTGTTTGGGACTCTTGGTTTGTCCAAAAAAGCAGGTTCAATCTCACTGAGGGTGGTGGAGAGGACGGGCAAAGGGGACGAAGGTAGACTACTTAAAAACATTGGTCAATAAAAGTTTGGAGAAACAAAATTTGCTGAGATATTTGCATGTGAGCTGTTGTATTAGCATAGCATACACTCTAAAACAACGAAATGTTGAATGACCTAAACCAGGTTATGTCAACTGGTTCTACAAAACCAACATTTCTCAATTACCATATTTTCACGACCATAAGGCACACGTAAAAGTCTTAAATTTTCACCAAAATGTACGCCGCGCCCTATGGTGCGGTGCGGTGCGCCTATTGTGTTGTTGTGAGACGCGAACATGGTAGAAGACGAGGGGCGTGGCGAGAACGGCAAGGCAACACACATGATTTTGTTCATGTGGAAAGTTTATGTGGTTAAATCCACCAGCTACCGGTAAACACATTCTGAACTTCAACAGCGCATAAGAAGAGCACGAGCCGTCAGCGCACGCAATGAGGACGTGCACGTGCGCTCTAAACCAGGTCTGAACCAGGACTAGACCAGTAAAGTGAAACATACTTTTGGCTGTTTATAATTTTCACAATGTCTGGTTTGCACTGATATGTTCCGAGTCCCGAGCCCGCACAGATGTTTTACCGGTACGTTTTACCACGCCCGCGCCCTATAACCCAGTGCGTCTTTTGTATGTGTTAAATACCAAAAAGACACCCATAACTGAAGCTGCGCCCTATAACATGGTGCGCCCTATGGTTGTGAAAATACGGTATTTCCCTCTAGGGAACGTAAAACTTGCCACCATAAGGAAAGATTGTGGACGCACCTAGCTCACTGTCATGTTTTTGTTGAGCTAACGAACGTACAAGGGCGTAGCATACTGTTAGCTTACCGCCAGGCTAACCACAATTATTACAGTGATAGCTTTATTTTGTTGTGTTTTATTACCCTGAACAAACCCGTGTGTATCGGAAAAACGTGACTTCAGCTGCTCAGCTGTTATTTCATATTCTTGTGGAACTAGTGTCAGGTTCACCTGAATGCTTGTGCTGGACTGCAAAGGGACGTCTTTTATCACATTAGCTCCACCGAGCTACTACTGGAGTTTGTCTTCATTTCCAACCATATTCACAGTTAATCTGGGGTTTTATGAAGGCTTTGTTGTATTTTCTTGTCTTTTTTTCTGCCGTCAACCATCACTAGCTTTGGCGCCTCTGCTGTTTCCTCCTTTAGGTCAGTGCACTAACGTGTTTATAGGCTGTTTCTTCTGCTGGGTTAAACAGTAAGCCTGTTGACTAGTCGGAGCGCTATTGCCACCTAGTGATTGGAGGCAAATTTTGCATTCATTCATGCAAACAGACGCTAAATAAACATCGACTCTCGTGCCTCTCGCACCCCCATGCGGAGGCCAGCCCGACTAATTGCAAACCACGGCACAAAACCTAGTTGCTTAAATTAAGGGTAATATACGTTGTTTGCGGTCGAAATGAGTTTCCTCCGTAGGGTGGCCGGGCTCAGCCTTAGAGATAGGGTGAGGATCTCAGACATTCGGGAGGGACTCGTAGTAGAACCGCTGCTCCTCTGGATCGAAAGGAGTCAGTTGAGGTGGTTTGGACATCTGGTCAGGATGCCTCCTGGACGCCTCCCTGGGGGAGGTGTTTCGGGCATGTCCTGCCGGCAGGAAGCCCCTGGGTCGACCCAGGACACGTTGGAGAGGTTACATCTCCAATCTGGTCCGGGAACGCCTTGGGGTCCTGCCGGAGGAGCTGGTGGAGGTGGCCGGGGAGAGGACGGTCCGGAGCTCCCTAGTTGGGATGCTGCCCCCGCGTCCCGGACCCGGATAAGCGGAGGAAGACGACAAAGACGTTGTTTTTATGTTTAAAGTACATTTAAGCAGCTAGGTTTAGTGGAACCAGTTGACAAAACTTGGTTAAGTAAATTTAATGTTTCCTGTTGGAAACAAAAAATGCTTTATTAAGGAGATAATCACAGGTGAAGCTGATTAAAAATGATGCATTTTCTTTTTTAATTTGAGATTATCTCTATAATACACACAAGTAGGTCAATATGATTCAACTTATATATGCACAGATTCAATATCAAGATTTCCTAAAGCAGGTCACCTATAGGTTCTCTTGAATTTCCAGTGTCTCTTCTGCGACGTTCTGCTGTCCTCATTAGTTGCCTTTTATTTTTTAAATGTAGTCTTTTCTTTCTCAGTGCAACTTTTTTGTTTCCTGTGTTGTTGATTAAAGATAAAATCAGCCTTTTACTCTTGCCTTGTCTAAACGCTTTAAAGTAACCAAACAGAAGATCTGTCTAACAACCAAACGCGTTCAAAGAGGTGAGAGTCAACCAACCTTGGTCCCAGCTTTAGTGTCCTTAATTAGTAAGTGAATGGCTGTGTAACTCATGCTTTAACAAAGCAATTCCTCACGTGTGTTTGAAGAAGAAATATGTTGTCCAGTGTCTCTTGTTCTCTACAGAAACAATTTCCTCTGAGTCTTTCTATTATTTTCTGTTTGTGTAGAAAATCTTCTGCCCCCCCCCTTTTTTATTTATTGCAATGACCCATGTATACATGCTTATGAAATTAAGATTTGATACACCGATATCAATTTATTTATGTAACTAAATCACTGTTTTATAATCTTGTTAATGAGTCAATAATTGATTTTTTTTGTTTGTTTAAATAAAAGTTAGTTTTTTGAAATGTACATTTACTTCCTCTCAAGTGCCGAAGCCTGGTCTCAGAAGTTCTGTCAGGAGTGATTATGGGAGGCGGCGCGTGCGATCGGTCGGGGACGCTTCGGATCTCCATCACGCAGCGTTGTCAGGAAAAAAAAAATAAAAAAGGGGAAAGGCAGGGAGGGATCACTCTCGCTGGCAGCAGCTTTCACGCTGTCATCTCTGGCGAGCTTGTGAGGAATATGAAATGTATCAATTGATATTCCCACGGTTTTTGTAGCTTCTGTCAGGCAGCCAGGCTCAGCCAACCACAGTAACCTGTTTACATGTATCCGGTGCTGACAGCGGTGCCACAGGATGACTAAATCAGTGTATGCAGTTTGTCAAGCGTGTGCACGCTGGTGTAGACATGTTTCTGTGGACGCTCTTTCTTGTTTGCATGCCTCTGTGTCTTGCGGATGGTTTAATACATGTGTGTCTGCGTGTGTGTGTGTGTGTGTGTTTAGGTCTTTAGGGAGTGAATGGGAACAGGTGGTAGCTCCAGACTACAGGAGCTCCTGACAGCAGTAAGGTCCCCAGACTCCCAGCCCCTCATTAAACATTGACACAAAAACACTGCAACTGTCTGTGTGTGAACAGTAATGAAGCGCAGACGGCTACACCGGTATACACACTGCAACTTAGCACAGTATGAGCTCTCAGTCCACAATCGTGTGTGTGTGCGCGCGCGAGTTCTGTCCATCTGTGTGTGTGCTCATTAACGAGGTACATTTGTCTACAGAGGTGTCCACTTAGATATTGAAGAATTTGTCAAGTTTAGCTACAAAAGCAGAAGTCTGCTGCCGAAAGCCAGACAGAACTGTCCATTTCTTATGTGATGGATGCCTGCCTGTGTGTGTCTGGGTGTGTGTGTGTGTGTGTTAGCCCACTTCCTGTGTGTCTGACCTGTACTCAGGTCCCTGCTCAGTTCCAGTTGGTAATGACGTCCCCTGGGTGCAGCACAGCACAGCAGCCTCCTCCGGTCTGTCTTGCTCCATACTTCTAATGACATCATGATCACACGCTGGCCTCTTTCATGCCGAAAGCCCTCTTCCTCAGCATCACCATCAAAACTCCTATCTGGAGCACTCATCGTCACTTTTGTTTGACGCACACTGCACCACGACGCCTCGTCTTTGTCTTGACATTGTCTGGTAACGGCAGATCTTTTTCTTTCTTTCTTTTTTCCAGCGTACAGAAAAAAAGCATATTTGTGGAAACCAAAGAGGGGATTGGAGTTTGTAAATGTGCTTTGATCTGAAATGTTTCATCTACAATGCTGTTTGCTGTTAAAACCCATTAATATACAGTGAGTGCGTTTACATGCAGCCAGTAACCCTTTTAAAACCCGAATATTCACAATAACCCAGTTCCGTATGGCCATGTAAACACCGCCAAAAACCCGGATATGCTCATAACCGGGTTTTTAAAAACCCGGGTACTACACCTGGGGTAACCCTTTTCTAACCCGAATGTTTGGTCGTGTAAACGCATATCGGGATATCCCCATCAACGCGTGTGTTCTGCGCATGCTCTGTTCGCAAGGAATCTTGGTTTTTTGAGTAGTGAGACGTCTTGTATGTGCCAGAACTCCGGAAGTAAACAACAAGTTGGGAGCAACATGGCGAGTCGCGGCACAGCACCACACTTTTGGAGTGACGAGGAAACCTCTGTCTTCATCGGTCTGGTGAAAAGTATGAACATTATGTCTTTTGTTGACGGCCGAAAGTACAGAGACAGCAAAATATACGCTTATTGCGTCTTGACGTAGTCCACACGTCCTGGCGCTACCCCAACGTCCGCATTTAAATCGGGTTATGCAAGTTAGGGGTAACTCTTTCTATTTATGCTCGTAAACGGGTTATTCTGATCAACTCAGAAACCCGAATACCGACCTTAACCCGATCATAACCCGGATATTGGCTGCATGCAAACGTAGTCAGTGATTCCGGTCTCTACAGTCGTATTAAATGCGACAACAAACCGATACCAATACATGTGGGGGCAGCCCCTCATAAAGAAAACTGAAGAACAAATTTAATTTTATGTAACCAACATCACATATTTCCCACCAAACTTATCGTCTTTAGAAAACATGACAACTACTCAAATTTTGGTGAGGCTAGTTGTGCCACACAAAAAAATATATTTCAATAACTAAACCTTACTCACTGCCAGAACAAAAAAGGTCATGGAAGGTCATTTTGTTGGATTTCTTTTGTCTTTGAGTACGGCGCACATACACTGTGGCGTTGTTTCAATCAGCTTCTGCAATGTCACCAGATTTATCTCCATCCAGTGTTGCATTGATGTTCACCAAGATCTTGCGCTGACGATGGTAGAGTCTGACCGCTGCACAAAGCCTTCTCCAGCACAATGGGGTTCAGGTCTGGACTCTGTGGTGGCCAATCCATGTGTGAACATGACGTATCATGCTCCCTGAACCACTGTCACTATTTGAGCCCGATGAGTCCTGGCGCTGTCATCTCGGAATATGCCCGTGCCGTCAGGGAAGATGGAATAAGCTGGTCATTCAGGATATTCAGGTAGTCGGCTGACCTCATTCTTGGAGCACACGCTGTTGCTGAACCTAGACCTGACCAACTGCAGCAACCCCAGATCATAGCACTGACCCTACAGGCTTGTACAGTAGGCACAAGGCATGACGGGTGCATCACTGCATCTGCCTCTCTTCTTACCCTGATGCACCATCACCCTGGAACAGGGTCCATCTGGACTCATCCGACCAGTGTTTAATAAGATGTTGGACAGTTCTTTACCCAGTTTTAGTCGTTTCTGCGATCTTAGATGTCTTCTCTGCTTGATGCCAATGATCTGACCCTTCTCAAACACACCAACATCTTTTCCACGGCCACCAGACGTGTCTTTCCACATGGTTGTTGAAGAAATGAGAAGCAGCTCATTGCACCAGTTGGAGTTAAACAACTTGTTGCAGCTGAAAGATAATCGCCCATGTAGTAATCATCCAACAGGAGGCTCCTACCTACTTGCTTAGTTACATCCAGGTGGCGACTTTTATTTTGTGGCCGATCAGTGTATCTGTCATAGTTTGACATTTTGAGTGAGAGGTTGAAGAAGCTGAATATGTGCATGGTATGTTAACACTGGGTCATTAAGAGAATGAAAACTGATATCAATAATTGCCTATATTAAAACTGAATGCCAGTATTAGCCAGTGATATTGTGAAATCCATAGATGAAACTAAGATTATAATTTCATCCAATGACCAAGAAGAAGAATGAAGAGTGACAAGGATGTTCTTTTCTTTTCACTCATTGCAGCTTTTTAAATTGTAGATCTTTTCCTTCATAATCCTTGTAACAGAATGAAATTACTGTTTTCCACCAAAAGTCACTTTCCCCCTCTCCTCTGACTCAGAACTAGTCTGCATGAGATATGGCCTCAAGGTCTCATGTGTTTGTTATAAACTGCTTCTTTCCAGCTCAACAGAAGAATGAAGAAAGGACTCGCTCCTTTTAATAAATCAAATAACTCTATATTAATAAAGCTAATCAAACAAAGTGTTAGTCAACAATTAGATGTGACCAATCTGTGAAATCAAAATATTAATTACTTTATTATAATCCTATAGAATATAATAAGTAATATGACTTTAAATGTTTCCACTAGGACTGATCTCACGTAGCGTTAAAATACATGACACATTACTTTCACTGAGCCAATCAGAATCTGCCAGATCTGACAGAGGCGTGGTTTTGATGGTGCTTGGCAAACTTGTCATCTTTTCATTCGACCATAAACCGATACATCCGAAGCATAAAACTATGCCCACGTCATCAGTTCAAAGCGTTCTAGAGAAGTTGTCGGAGTGGCCAATCTGTAACTTTCCTCTTCAGCCAAAAGAACCAACGACAAGCTGGACAAAATCTGTTGCTGTTCCAACTGTTGCAACGGTTCCTTTCAGAATAAAAGCTGAACCATCACGACCCAGGTTTAGGTCTCGCTAGTTGCCAACAAAACCGTCATGACCCAGAAGTATCTCAGAGACTGGTCTGGTCGGCAACCACTGCTTTTCCCACCGGCTTCGGTTCCAGAGAGGGTCCAGCTGGACCTCGACATTCCTGATCTAACAGGGACTTCCAAAAGGGTATGTAGGCCGTCGAATGTGTTTATGAATCTCCTAATCAAAGCTTAGCGCGAAGACATCACCTTCATTTCCCATCAGAACTAATCGCTTCTTCGTATTTGCTGGTTCTGAGCAACATTCCACATCACACCATTCTCTGTCTCATCCACCTTAGTTACACCATACATTTAGTGTTAAAGTTAGTCTAGTTTAATTTGTCTTAATGCAATTTTAAACGTTTAAACTTGACTCTCCATAAGGTTGATTTCATATTTCCTATGGAATCCTATGTCTTATGGCTTATTAAATAACATGTAATTTAACTCATCACGTCCTAGTCAGCTAAACAATAAAACGTTGAGGAGTAACTCGCCCATAAGGAGAATGCTTCTTTCGTTCACTCAGAGTCGGCTCTAATTTGACTTTTTTACTCTTTTATTTACTTTGGAAAGTTCCTCAAAGAATCCAGGTGTTTAAAATGCAGCCATGATTAAATGGTAAATGGTAAATGGCCTGTATTTGATATAGCGCCTTCTAGAGTCCTGGAACCCCCAAGGCGCTTTACAACACAATCAGTCATTCACCCATTCACACACACATTCACACACTGGTGGGGATGAGCTACGATGTAGCCACAGCTGCCCTGGGGCGCACTGACAGAGGCGAGGCTGCAGAGCACTGGTGCCACCGGTCCCAACGACCACCACCAGCAGGCAACGTGGGTTAAGTGTCTGCCCAAGGACACAACGACAGCGACAGACTGAGCGGGGCTCGAACCTGCAACCTTCCGATTATGGGGCCACCGCTGCCCCTAAATGTGTTCCACAACTTTAAGTGTGGTTCACACGACAGAATGGTCATGCTGACTTCTGACCAGCCCC